AAGTACTGAAATGATAAACAGGCAGAGACACGCTGTGTTTGCATTTGCTGTGTTGCATGTTTGCATTGGACAGTGAGTGAGGTACCCACTTACTCAGCTCGTATGCCTTTCCTATGCGGTGCAAATGGAGTCTGATCGTTTCATCAGATACCTGGAAATGTGCAGCAAGTTCACCATATGTTTGACTACTGTCACTCTCTATTGCTGCTCTCAGAGCCTCATCGACCAGTGCTTCTGGTCGACCACTGCATGGTGCATCAGAGACATATCCCGACCTGAACTTCTGGAACCATTGCCTAGCGGTTTGTTAGTTAACGGAATCCTCCCCAAAGGCCTGGCAAATTCGGCGACTTGATTCTGCTGCTGACAGGCCCACTTTGCAATCATACAGCAAAAAAACTCTGAGTGAGTGCCTTTGATGCATCTATTTCAATCAGGCGCTATGTCAGTTACGTTTGAAGTATTGATACAATGCACTTTTATACCCTTGGTCAATGCCCGAACTCCCATCTTAACCACTTCATCCCCAGGTCTGGTGACTATTTTTATGTTGGGGTTTACTCTTCCAATGTCATATCAGAAAGGGCAAGAACTTTTTTGGTTACTTTGTATTTACACCTAAAAACATATTGATCAAATTGATTTGGATAATAATTAGGTTTGATTTTTGTTCGTTCCACGAAAATACAAAATCCATTGCCTAGTTACTTGGTGAAACATTACTTTTTAAGATAGTTTTGATACTGGCATATTTAGGAAGGTATCCTGAAATAAATACTATTTATTTCAAGATAATACTGTATCTATTGGTTAAACAGATTTTCTATCAAAATTGCAGCATTCAGCATAGTGCAAAACAATTTCTGCCAGAGTAATCCAAAATAAAAAGGGAGATATCAAAGTCAGCGGGTAATAATAATAAACTTTGTTAATCTACACTTGAGTTAACAAAAAAAAAGGAGTGTGTCAATTATATATAGCCCATGGGCCAGCAGTATTCAACAACTGGTTTAAATCCTTAACAAGAGTAATGTTTATAAAGAATTTCAGTAACATAGTTCCAAATTTTTACAGTTGACTATTTAAACATTAATGAGTTATAGGTAGCACATTTCTATGATTACAGCATTTTTACAGGAGTAAGTACAGTAAGTACTCTTCCGGCAATGGATCAACAGCCAAGATGCGCACAAATGCACATCATAGTCTTAAACCACAAACCACAGAAAACATTACGACTTCTCATTTCTTAATTCAGATACAATTTTGTAAGAGATCTTCACTTCTCCAGCCCCTTATGATTTGACAACTGCCAAATAACAAAAGATCTTCCATTTTTTCTTTCAGGAAAAAAGGAATTATTCACAGTCCAAGATTTCATAAGATTACCATAACATGAAGTTATGTCAATCTGAAGTTTAGCATTCCTCGTTTCTTATTATTTCGTACTTTTTTTTTTTTTTTTTTGTTTTGTTATTTTGTTTGATGTATGACCAGTTTGTACAACCAGTTTTATTTTTGAAAGTAATGATCGGGAAATTCCCGTTCTAAGCAACCAGCAGTTACGTTAGTTAAGCTACAAGTCATTTTGATCATTATACTAAACATGCAAATAGTTGCATTTATCTGTTTGTGTTTGTAAAGTGAAATAAATTAGATATAAAACAAAGTATGATTTTGAATCAAAACAGTAGCACTGCCATGGCACTGCTTCCAAAGATACCAAAAAAGTAAGAAGTCTAGGTCCAAAACTGATTCAATGGCTTATTATAGATACAATAAAACAATAGTTAAAAAACTCTGCAATAATTTTCTCAAATAATCATGTACAATTACATTTTTCAACAGCAATCTTAAATGTATCATTACTAATTCAGATAACATTTCGCACTAGTATATACTGCAGTGTTTATTGCATGGCACACAGTCAATGAATGTGTATTGCATATTAATCTCATTAGAAATGGCATTTTACAGCTATTCAAAATTTCTATAAAAGCCACCCAGACGGTATAGTAGTTAGGGGAAGCCGACTGCTATACCAAAGGGTCCGGCTTCGAATCCTGGAGAAGGCATGAATGTCTGTCCCCTCATGTGAGGTAACGGTGGCCACATATTAGGTGCCTTCAGAATATAATGGTCACCACTTCTGGCTTTAGGAGTGGTCAATGCTGAAAGGTACGTGCCCACCGTAATAAAATAAAAAAATTAAAAAATCTACAAAATTATCAACTACATCATATTTCAAAGAGACAGAATTTTTTGAAATATTAGTTAATGAAAACAGTATTGTTCTGTTATCAGGACAAGGTCCAGAAATTCATGTATGCCTGTATGGATCTGTTCATGTATACATGTATATATGTACGTACATATGTATCTGTATGTGTAACATACATATATGCACATACAAACATACACTTCTGAATATGGTGCTGATAACAGAACAGTACCATGAAAATGTTTATCAATGCTCAATTGATTAGCCAATTATGGCAAACACCTGAATAAGATAAACATTAATGAGGCAAATGACTATACCTTAATCTTCCCTTTTACAAATTGTTCTAAACAATAGTATAAAGGAAATATCTTTTTTCAAAATATTTTCCCTCATTCTTCTTAGTTAAACACCCACACGCATACTTCTAACTAAAAGACAGTCAACTAATATTTTCAATTAATATGTCATTCAGCTAATATCACAAGAGATTAAACCATAAAAATCATCTATTTCTTTTATTAAACATCATAAATATGATATGCAGCTCCCATTTCATAATAAAATATTATACATAGTAGTATAACAAAAATCCACATTAACTAGGACAATAGCCCTTTCAGATATTTTAAAAAGTACAAACTGGAATTTCTCCTTATTCTGTAAGCCAATGTAACTATCATAACACAAGAGAAGACACGTTTATTTTTTTATTTATACATTCTGTTCCTGTATAGTTAAAAAGAGTTTATATTTTTATTTTCATAAAGACAATGTTTTTTTAAAAATGAAACAACATATTATTCATTATTTTTCTAAACACATAAATGATTTTTATTCCAACTATTATTTACCCTAAAATTAATGAACAATCTTGTTTTTATTTTTGTTACACTAGAATTAAGCCAAGAAATTATTTTTATTTGTATAAAATACAATGCATAATCAATTTCTGCTCAACTAAAACTAAAATTATTTTTTTAACTAACTAAGATTAAAACTAAGATATTTTTAATTGGCCAGACAGATTGCAGCTACATCACAGTAAGGTTAATGTTTTTTTTTTAACTATACATATTTTTTACCTTTGGATAATATTTTTTTTTTTTTTTTACTATAAATTCTCCCAACATTATAAACCAACCCACATGTCACACATATTCATATAAATTAATTTATCAGCTTTTAAAAAATATACAGTAGGTATTATTATATCAAGAAGAAAACACATGTAAATAAATTAAATAAAAGCATTATTTGGCCTAGAAAAGCCGGAAATAATCCAAATAACAAATTTTTTATGTCTGCACAATAAGTTTTGGACATCTGAAGCAATGTTAAGATGAATTCTACAGAATTATTAAAGGAACATTTTTTGAAAGTTTAAAATGCTTCAAATATTTCATCGAACAGATATGCACCTGTAAAAATTTCATATATTAATTAAGATATTCCAGAAGAAAAAAAAGATTTTTAATCAAACCAGAATTTCTCTTTTCCCACTATAACTTGATTTACTGTTTCTGTAACATTACAATTCAAAACTTTATAATATTGAAATGTATGGCCATTAAATAATTTCAAAGCAAAAAAAAAAAAAAAAATGCCAACTTTGGACATTCACACACTAAACTCTGTCACCATAATAGAAAGAAGTGTTTAAAGTTACATATTAATAATTACAAAATCATTTCTAACTGTCAAATACTTAGATTTATATAAAAATATGTCATGCCACAATTTAAAAAATTAACAGTTTCATTGACAAATATGTATTGAATATTCCCATGTTTTCTAGATTAACTTAAACAACTGAAAGCTCCCACCAACAGCAACTTCTATTAGGATCAGCTCAGAATTTTGCACAGAAAATATTAAATATGCTCACATGTAAACCATGTTCAAGCAGTGCCGTCTTAAGAGCATTATGAGCCCCTGGGCAAACCAGTGTACTGGAGCTCTTACGATAACTATTCACAGAAATGTAAATGGATTAGCATAGGGGTCCCCGGGCAAATGCCCAGCCGGCTCGTGCATTATGATGGCTCTGCATTAAAGCTAAGTCTGAAGTTGTCAAACATTATGATAATTTTATGCCACACATTGGCCATTTTGATTTTGACACTTCCAAAAAAACCATTCCAAAAAATATCAGTAAGGAAGCCCTTTCCAAACATTTTGTAATTGTTGATTTTGCATCACACACTCTTTCTTTTGATACCATAAAATAAAATGGACACCCCAAAAAAAACATTTTACCAAAAAGATTCATTTTAAGGAAGAATTTTTTTTTTTACATTCAAAGTTATATGCCATACAGTTACTGCACTACACTGTTTCTGAAACATGCTATTTCTTTACAGAGAAATTTGTCAAAATACTAAATCTTATCAATTTCAAAATTGAAAAATGACAGTTCCAGCTATAGATTTTGTCATTTAACTTCAGTAATTCTTTCAAGCAACTATTTTTTATGAATATAACGCAGAGACATTATCATATAAAAAGAATCTGAAAAAGTTAACATTAACGACTAATATGCACTGCATCTCCCTAACAGTAAAAATAGTTTATTAACGGATCTTAAAAATTGCAAAAACTTGATTACCTTCTATACAAAAACTGAAAACTAAACAGATCGAAGTGAATATAAAATAATAGAAAATTTTTTTAGAAGAACAAGAATATATTCTATCTCCAGGACCGGTGCTTTATAGTAGCATTTCAAATACACGTCTCATCACTTTTAATTCGGTTAAATACAAAACTTACTACTTACGTTAAACAAACTTCGCGCACTGATGGTATCAAATAGTATGCCAAGCATTGATATTTTGACACAAGGAACAAACACAATACACAAACATTGCCAAAGGACTAATTGAAAGAAAACAGAACTTCTCTACTATTTTCTGAATCTGAAACAGAAGCATCTTCAGTTCAGTTCCGGCGCGTGGCAGCTTGCACCGATCATGCAGGTCAACAAGAAATAGTTCTTCATATAACGACTACAATTTCTGGAATAAATGTCAAAATTATAATAATAAAACTTGCAATATATTATACATGTCTCCTTGGACACAAAGCAAAATATTGGGGGGGGGGGAATATATCCAAAATATATTTTCCACAACAAAGTGTTTTTGTTCACCCAAATTAAAATGTAAATCTTTTTGCAAGACAGAACAAAATTAAACAAGGCATAAGAGCAGCATGCAACTAGCGACATCTCTTCCTTTCAGCATCAAATTCAGATTCATTTACTTAGAAAGCCAAGAATAACAATAATATATATACTGTAATACAGCTGGATATTCATAACTCTTGATTGAATTCCTCATGCTATTAACTTATGGTAATTATGTATATCTATACCCGTCCAGACGGTATAGTGGTTAGTGGAATCGAATGCGAAACCGAAGTTCCCGGGTTCGACTTCCTGAGAAGGCATGGACGTAAATTGTCTGCCCCCTCGTAGGAAGTGGCCGCCAATTAGGTGACTCCATAATATAATGACCACTATATCTGGCCTTAGTAGCAGCGAAAGTTTAAACTTGGTTAGTGCCCGCCATACAAAAAGAGGGAGAAGCTAACGTTTAAGATATATAATCACCGAGCTACTCGACATCCTAAAAACAATTTGCTCAGCAGTTTACCCTACAGTTCTGGTTTGCAACTATTACTTTGAAAGAGCTCCTATTAAAGGTGGTAGTGTTAAGAATACATTACTTATTTTAATGTTTATTATTTTGTATTTTATATTTCCTGGCTCATGAACAAGCTTCGCTTACTAACTACTAAGAATATATAGGGAATTTGTGTTTCAGAAACAGCGCCTCCTTTTACTCTGCATCACGTGAAGAACATCAGTAAAACAAAAAGACGAAAGTAAAAGTCAGGTGGCCGACATCAGGCGACGAAAAAGGTGAGTTTCTGGTCGAAGGTCCAAATCAGCGAACTGAAGAATCTAGTATAAGTAAAAAATGTTAAGGATAGAGAATGACAGATGGATATTTGTGCTTTTCTCCGGAAATGGAGAACATCTAAGAGAGTTGATGCAGTTGTTAGGATGAGCTAGAACTGAGTAGAAGAAATTTCTGCCACGTTTTTGAATATAATTTTAAATTGTATCTTCTTTGAGATCACGGTGGATATACGAATTTAGAATGAACCATGGCGCGTTGATAATCTCTCTGAGTGCTTTGTCTTCAAGAACTTGGATGTGTTGAAGGTGAGTTTTGGCAACGTGGCCACAGACAGGATTAGCAAAGAGTAATGTTGGTCAAAGTATAGATTTATATAAGAGGAGTTTATTAAAAGCGGACATATGACTTCTTCTGCCAAGAAGTGGGCGCATAATTGCAAGCGTGATATTAATTTTTTTCACAGTTTCCCTGAGATGTTTCTGAAAAGTCAATTTTTTATCAAGAATGACTCCTAGATATTTAACTTCGTCAACCCAGTCAATTTCTTCATCAAACAGAAAAGGTCTAGGTGGAGTGAAATTTGTTTGGCCTTTGCGAAAAATTATTGCTTTTGATTTTTCGGTATTAACTGCAATTCTCCAAAGAGTGAGCCAATTTTCTAGATGACTGAGGTAATGTTGAAAGAGGAGCTGGAACACAGAAACAGTAGAAGATGGGACATAATTGCAGTATCATCAGAGAAAAGATCAATGGTAATTTGTGGGTCCTTAGGAACATGATAATGTAAATGTTATATAAATATGGAGAAAGTACAGATCCTTGGGGCACTCCAGCGAAAATTTTTCTCGTGGAAGAAACAGAACTGCCAATTTTCACTGCAAAGATTCTGTCTTGGAGATAGGAAACAATAAGTCTAACACAATGATCGGGGAAGTTTAATTTGATAAGTTTGTATATAAGTCCCCGGTGCCATACCCTATCAAAAGCTTTCGCAATATCAAAGAAAATGGCTCCGGTAGGGAACTTACAATTGAAATCGTCAGTAATATTGTTGACGACACGAAGCAGCTGGTGATTAGTACTATGAAAATGACGGAAGCCAAACTGTTCTTCTGGAATGTAGGAGCTCTGTGGAATAATTTGATTAAGATGATATAGAATAACTTTTTCAGCTATTTTAGAGAGTTGACTGAGAAGGCTGATTGGGCGGTAGTTTTGGAGAAACGTTGAATTTTGTTGCGGTTTTGGGAAGACGACGATGATGGCATGTTTCCATTATACCATATATTACTTTCCTAATATATGGAATACTTTGGTGCAAATACCATCAATACCTGGAGCATTTTTGGGTTTTAAGGAGGTAATATAATCGGCAACCAGCTTAGGCGTGGCAAGGAATGTAAAGTTCAAAGGACCTGAGATTTTTAAGAACGTATTAACAGTATCATTAACTTTTGAGATATGATTGTTGTCGTAGGGGGTAGTACTGGGAGTAAACGTTCCTTCTAGTACATCTGCAAAGGTGTTAGCTTTATCTTCGTCTGAATAAATCATTCCGTTGGTACCATGAAGTGGCGGAATTTGCTTGAAGGGTTTGTTAAATTTCTTTGCAATGTCAAAAACAGAATTATCTTCATTTGCGAGAGAGTTGAGGAAGTTTCGCCAGCGTTGCGTCTTGAAGTTACTAATGTCCTTTTTAATGCCACCTTGAAGGGCGTTCAGTTGCGTTTTGAGCCTTGGGTGACTTGTATTTTGCCAGGTTTTCCTAATACGATTTTTGCATTTGATTTTTTGTCTTATGCTGGCTGGAAGAGGAAGAAAAGGATGAGAGCTTATGAATTTATTGGTTGAAAAATTGATAGCATGTTGAGTATAGGTGGTAAACTTCTTGATTTCACACTCAGTATCGTCTTCATTGGTAATTTTGGGATTTCCAGGAATGGTATCTGAAATGATTTTTGAGAATTTTTTTCCAGTATGTAACGATAATACTCTTGCCCAGTGAAGACAAGTACTATTTATGCTGATTTCAAGAAGAATAGGATTATGGTCAGATGAGAGAGCTGGAATAACAGAAATTTGACAATTCTAGTCGAGGTTGTTAGAAAAAAGTAAATAATAAAAACTGTTATAGCCGTAATGCGTAGGTTTATCAGAGGCATGAATGGTATAATTTTTTTAATCGTGCAAAAAATTTCTTGTTCTTTTTTATTGCTAGCTCCTTGATTTCAGCATTGATGCCTAGCGTTAAAATCTCCTCCAATTAAAGCAGGAAAGTTACGATCCAGTAGCTGTTCAATTTCAGAAATGATTGGACTATTATTAGGAGGTATATAGCTATTAGCGATAATGAATTTTTTGTGCTCAATTTGAATTTCGATAATATTGCTTTCAAAAGAGGTAGAAAAATTTTTTTTGAGATGATTTTGGATGCTCCTTTTAACAAAAGCTATAATTCCACCTCCGCGTCCGGTTTCTCGATCCGTACAATAAATAGAATAATTTGCGTAAAGCACTTTTAGCGCAGGTTTCAAATGCGTTTCCTGTATAAGAATTACATCAGGTTCCAGTTCCAGAAGAAGATCTCCAAATTCATCTTTTTTGTTAGAAAAGGCCTTTAGAATTCCATGAAAGAATCCTGATGTTTCTCAGATTAATACCGCGTGGCATGTTAAAGGCAATTACTAATTTTGTCAAGAATGTCCACAATTGCCCTTATTTTTAATGAATCCAAATTAAATAATTCTGAAAAAGCGGAGCTTGTGGTTCGAGTTTCAGATAAGTTGGAGTTCTTATTATTTTCAGGCTTCGGAGAATCTTGTTACGAAATGTACAGGCGCGGTAAGATGGCTTCCCCGCAAAGCAGTTTAGGGTTGCCATAAAATGACGAGGGAGGGCAGGTTTTCCCCATTTGGCGAGAAATCGCCCGTTTGGCGACGAAATTGGCGATACCCCATGGACGGATGGAGAACCTTCTGGAACGAATTCTTAACGGTTTAGCTTAGAATGTTCTCGAACACAAGCCGAAAGCCATATAAACCCTGCTAATCCGCAGTCAGTTAGTGTCTCAGAGTGTATGCCTCGTCGAGAGGGCGAGTTAGAGTGCCTCGCATAGAGTTAGTCATTATCGAATTGGTGTCTTGTCTAGCGAGTCAATCTCTGCGGAGTCGATCGAGTTGACAGCCAGGCAGCGAGTTCCGAGTGGGTCGTCGAGTGCACTGAAAGAGTCTCTTAGTGTATCGCGTTAGTGCATCGTCGACAGAGCGTGTGAGTCGGGAGCTGTGCTCTGCGTGTCGTCGAGCGCATCGCGAGTTGTAGCGTGGAGAGTCTCGAGAGTACGTGGAGTTCCGAGAACGACCAAGCAGAGTCGGGAGCTATACTCTGGTGCTTTGCAGTGAAGCTGTCTCTACCGTGATAGCCTGATAACCTGGAAGCTGTGTCGCTGATCGTGTCAGCGTGTTTATAGTAGATCTTCGACGACTGTAAAAGTGTTTTGGAGCTGTCCTGATTAATATTGGTAAATAAAGTGTGTTTCGATACTTCATCAAGTGTCGTCGTTATTCGCTCCAAATCTACGAACCCCGTACGAACGTGAAGACAGAAAATAACGTAACAACTGGTGTCAGAAGAAAAGAAAAACGCAACAATCTATTTCTTCTTTGAGAGGGGGAAAGTTGTTGTCTTGTAAATTCCAAGGATTTTTGGTTGGTGGATTGCTGGGTGTGAACTTCTGCTTGGTTTGTTGCGGTATGGCTGGACACTTGGAGAAGTTAGCTAGATGTGGACTACCACAATGGCAGCAAGTGGCAGGCTTATCTTTTATCAACCGGACAATTTTTAGGTTCATGATTTCCACCGCAACGCACACAAATCCAGTCACGAGTACATAAAAGTGAGCTGTGGAAGTATTGTTGGCAACGATAACGTTGTTGAGGGCCAGCCTCCGTTTTAAGGTTACAGCAGTGACAT